GAACTCCAGCAATCACAGACCAGAGGAGATCTCTAGAAACCACAAACCAGAGGAGACCTGGACCAATGATTTTATTTTCTTTGACCTTCTTCATGTCTGATCATTTTAAAGACACAATATTCCATGGTTTTTTTTTTCCATCATCTTCTTTTTATTTAAAATCATTTGGTATTTCAGGCTAAAACTGATAAAACCGGAGGATTTCTGGTTGGTACAGTTGGTCAACGAGTGATGACGATAATTGGACTAAAACTCAGTTCAGTCTGAGGACCAAAGAAGTTCTGAGGAGCTCTGTCTTTCCACGTCTTCTGAGTGTCTTCAAGTGCTGGTGGAACAGAAACTTTACAAAGTGGTAAAAACTGAACCTGGATCTGGTTTTTATGGAAGTTTTCTTGTTCATGTGAGAACTGATCAGGATTTCACCAGGAACATAGAACCAGAAGTCCTGACGTGTCCCATCAGGTTCTATCCTGCATGATAAAAAATATTTCAGCTGTTGTTTTTATTGTTTCAGAAGCTGAAGCCAGAGTCACAGTGGGGGATCATCCTCCGTGTTCAGAACCAGAACTGGGTCAACTGTGGTTGGACTCTCTGAGGAAAGCTCTGTTTATCTGTGACGGTCTGACATGGAGGATGTTGCTGCAGAGTGAGTCTGAGGACTGCGGATGGACCTGATGTAATTCGGGTCAGGGTTTTGGTCCATACTGACCCTGAAGCTCAGAGAAGTTCTGATGAACAACTAAAGCACCTGAATCCATCTCCTTTGCAGATAAGGAGCGTCTGGACTACGTGGAGGACTACCAGGACCTGTACACGCGCTCGGAAACCTTTGACGTGGAGATCTTCTCCATCCCGTTTGAAGGCCTGTTCATGGCTGCAGCAAACAGGTACGAAACACCTGTGAAGCAGGTTCTGTGGACCTGAAGGTCCATGTCTTCATGGTAACAATCTTGTCTTCCCTGGCAGGGATTCTCGATCCGGCTCGGGTATCTACCGATGGAGAAACGGGTCCTTCCAGCTGTACCAAAACATCAGCACTCAGGAGGCCCGGGCCTGGAAACACTTCACGATCAATGACAAGGTGAGAGTCCAGAACCCAAATATGAGTTCTGTCAGAACCCAAATCATATTTATCTGATAGATTCCAGTTTGTAAATATAAATAATGAATCTTCTTCTTAAACCAAAGTTATTCAAGGAGTTCCTCACGGTTCAGTGCTTGGACCAATACTCTTTACTTTATATATGTTTCCATTAGGTGATATTATTAAACAGCATGAGATAAATTTTAATTGTTATACTGATGATACACAGTTATATTTGTCCATGAAATTCAATGAATCCAATCAGTTACTTAGACTACAAGCATGTCTTAAAATCATAAAAACATGGATGACCCTTAATTTTCTGCTTTTGAACACAGACAAGACTAAGGTTTTGTTTTTTGGACCTGAGCATCTTAGGAAGGAATTTTGCAATCTTTCACAAACTCTAGATCACATTAATCTGGCCTCCAGTTCTAATTAAAAACCTTGGTGTAATTTTTGATCAGGACATGTCTTTTAACCCCCACATTAAAAACCACCAACCGAGAACCACCTTCTTCCACCTGCATAATATCACTAAAATTAGAAACATCTAAAAATGATGCAGAAATCTGGTTCATGCATTTGTCGCATCTAGACTGGATTATTGCCAATGGTTTATTATCTGGGTGTCCAAATACTTATTTAAAATGTCTTCAATTGATCCAAAATGCTCTCTTAACTGGAGTTACTGGGAGAGATCATATCTCTCCAGTTTTAGCTTCTCTCCATTGGCTCCCTGTCAAATCCAGAATAGAATTTAAAATCTTACTTCTAACCTACAAAGCTCTCAACAACCTAGCTCCATCTTATATTACAGATCTTATTGTTCCATATTTTCTTAACAGAGCTCTTTGCTCTCAGACTGCAGGTTTACTTGTGGTTCCTAGAGTTTCCAAGAGTAGAATGGGAGGAAGATCTGCTCCTCAGATAAATAAAGTTAATTATTATTTTTAATATAAATGTTTCTGTTCAGTCCCTGAGACGACTTCTGTCGTGACTTGGAGCTTTATAAATAAACTCAATTGAACTGAATTGAACTGCTTTGACAGATAAATGTGGTCATGTGACCTGTATTTATGTGACCTCTGACCTCTACATCTTGTAACCCTGTGTTTTGGGGGTTCTGAGGATGGAGTTGAAAGACTCAGAGGGGTCAGAACCAGTCTAGTATTGGTTCTGTTTGGTCTTTGTGACTCAGGTCCCAAAGTTCTGCAGGTCTTCAGAAGATGAACCGTTCTGATGTTTAAAATGATCCAGAGGCCTGCTGAAGTTCAGAACAGTTTGGTTCTTTAGAACCCGAGTCCGAGCCAGGAGAGCTCAGAGATTCACTGGTTCTGAAACAGCTCGTTGTGTTCCTTTTCTTCAGAACTTCCTGGTGGTCGCTGACACCAGGAGCGCGGAGACGGAGCTGTCGGTCATTTATCGGTGGAACCGGCGGCGGCGGCAGTTCCTTCGGTACCAGACTCTGGAGACTCACGCCGCTCAGGACTGGGAGGCCTTTCAGATCCACAACCACAGCTTCCTGGTGGTGGCCAATCACAGGCGAGGTGAGCAGGCAGTTGATCACTGGAGGCTCGGTTTGGTCTCTGATGGTTCTAGCAGTATTCTGAAGACCTGAACCCTGAGACAGACCTCAGAGCCTCCTGAGCTCCAGTCTTCATGTTTCTTCTTCTGCAACATGTTTCTCTGTAATCAGACGAGTGAAATGAGCAGCTGTGGTGTGGTCAGGTCCGTCACCTCCTCCCAGGAAGGAGGAGATGAAGATCTTTCTGGTGGTTAGGAGCTTTCAAACCAACTGTTTGATGTTGGAGAAGTGTGGTTTCCAGCTGATAAAACCTGAGACAGCTGCTTCAAACACACCTCCACCTGCACGCCGACACGTTTCCTCTGGAGATAAAAACACTCACTGATCCAACCAGACTGTTTATGATCCCAGAGGACCGGATGCAGGTGGGCTGGGGTCAGAACCCGGGACACGTGGACTGCTTCGTGTAGATCACATCATCTATACAGTCAGCAGAAACATGAGGACCCACAGGTCATTTAAACCAGTTTAAAGACTAGAGACCCTGTAGAACCAATCCAGAGGGGATTCTGGGTTTCTGTTCTGGTACAATCAGTCCAGAGTCAGAGTGAGTTCAAGGTTTTGGTCTTGGAGGAACCGGCCCAATTCAGTTCAATTTAGTGTATTTATATAGCAGCTGAGTAGCTGATTGAAGGCCCAGAAGTCCAGAGACAGAGTGAGTTCAGGGTGTTGACATGTTCTCTGAAGGTATGGAGACATGTCCTGCTCTGAGATTCTTTAAAACCAAAGTTTGAAAGAACCAAACTCCGGCGTGTTGAATCGACTCCAGAGAAAAGTGTTCCAGCACATCACTGATCAGATAAACGAACACATAAAAGACGAGAAGAGGAAAAGTGTTTTAGGTGGTCCCTAAAGGGGCGTGGCTTTTGAGCTGCAAGCATCCACCAGGGTGTAGTCTCATGTGTAAATGTGTCCCTGTGTGTCCTCAGCCAGGGACTCCAAGCACAACGTCCACAGTGTGATCTACAGGTGGAACCCAGAAACAAAGGTAACGTCCAATCAATGCCCTGTCCTCACCCTGAAACACGTCTTCTCTTCTTTACATCAGCTCTGTCCCTTCCTGTCCTCGTGTTTAAAGCTGGTCTTTCCTGTCCTTAAAGTTTGTCTTTTGTCCTCTTCTCCTTTGAACTCTTGTGTTTCTTCCGCCTCTCATGTCTCTGTCTGTCCTTGTCTTCATCCGTCCTGTCCTGTTTCTTCTTGTGTTCTGTCCTCTCAGGGTTGGTTCTGTTAAACCCGTCTCACTCTGTCCCAGCTCTTTGAGGTGAACCAGACTCTGTCCACATCTGGAGCGTACGACTGGGAGTTCTTCACCGTGGGACCGTACCACTTCCTGGTGGTGGCCAACACCTTCGACGGTCAGACCACCACCGTCAGCTCCACCGTCTACGTGTGGCTGGATGGACGCTTCCGGACCTTCCAGAACATCACGGTCAGTGTCTCTTGTCTTTGTGGGTCGGGTTCTGGTCTGGAGGTCAACATCTGGACGTTCTGGGGTCTTGAACTTTGGCACCTTCTGGTGGTGAAGTTATACCCTGCCTGACTCGTTTGTTCAGTCAGCTGCACTACAATCACCCGATTAATAATCAATAATCAGATTATTAACTCCTAACCGGGTCGTTAATACGACAGGACAGAACCTCATGCTTGTCCCTCCTGGGAACACAGCAGCTGTAAGGACAGAACCGGTTCTTCTACTGGACCGGTCCACTCATCCGTAGGGACAGACCTGAATCTTTGGACCGGACTCAGACTTGTCCAGTCCCAACGTTATAGAGGTGCTGATCCAATTGCAGTGAACTCCTTATTCATCCATCGTTCTGGTGGTTCTGGAAAAACAAAGAAAGAACCCATCAAACATGCATCTCCATCAGAACCAGTCCCGTTTGGCTCTTCAGCTCAGACTTCCCAGCAGAACCATTATTCAGAGTTTCAATGGGTCACAGGAAGTTGGACTGAACTCTGTTTTCAGAACTTGAACAGCTTTGGCTAACATGGAGGACCCTGGAGGTTCTGGTGATGTCACCGTAACATTGAGATGTCTAAACTTTCAAACGTTTTTACAAACAAACTCTTTTTATTCACACGAAGAAGTCGTCGTTTTGTCAGTTCAGATTTTTACAGAAGTAAAAAAGAGCAGGATTTGGATTTTTATCAATTTTTTTTTTTTTTTTTTTTAGACCTGTGACGTTCAGAACCTTCAGCCGCAGGAAAACAAGACAAACTGATGGAGTTTACAGGATGTTCTGGTTCTGTCAGGTCAAGGTAATGACTGATGAAGTCATGTGACCTGCAGCAACCGCAGGTTCTCAGCCTGTAATAAAGAGGACACATGAAAGCAGAGAGTAATGACTGAGTGAACGAGTGAGGGACTTTCCAGCTTCAGTCTGAAAAGCTGCTGAAACTGTCCCGGCATCACAAGGACCTCCTTCAGTCCACTTCAGAACCATCAACGGAGACTGACCCACATGTCCAGTTCAGGGGTGTCCAATAAGTCAATCACAAAGGTATTATGGGTAGATCTCATGGCAGCCTGTCATCATCTATGAAATCTGCCGTGCACATGTTCAACAAACACAACACACACCTCATATTAGAATATCTTTACTCAGCACATCTGACAGTTTAGATCAAAATACTGTCGTTTAAAAGCCACAGTCGTTCATCATTTCTTATCTGGCAACCCGACTGACATGGAAACTACAGCATTTTCATGTAATCCCGCTCTTCTTTTTTAATTACACCGCAATAAACGTTGAAAAAACCCCAAACGTTTCCAGAGATTGTTCTGTGTAAACGGGGCCTTACAGCAGGTAGATCACTTTGACCTGGTCATTTTAAAAGGAGCTCCATGATGAAAAAGTCTGGGCACCCAGACTTTAAAGACTTAAAGACTTTGTTTCATTCAAACATACTGAGCTTGAACCTCTTTAGGGACCTTGAAACAGCAGACGGAGCTGCAGATCAGCACCTGGCCACAGGTTCCTCAAACCTCCACCTCCTTCTCTCTGAAGAAACTTCCTGTTTTCAGAGGAGGACCAGAAACACAAAAACGAAAGAACTCTGAGCCGTCAGCTGTCACTGCGTCTGGAAGGAAGCAACTTATGTCCCGCAGCCTAAGACCATCAGAACCTTTCTTCGTCTCAGTCCAGTTGTTCTGCTGGTTCTTGTCTCCACAGACGGTCGGAGCGACGGACTGGGAGGCGTTTCAGATCGACGGCAGGTTCTTCCTGGCCGTGGCCAACAGTCAGCAGCTGTCCAGCCACGGCCCGAGTCTCTACAACATCAACTCCACGGTGTACGAGCTGAACACGCTCACCCGGACCTTCATCCCCTTCCAGGACATCCTAACGCACAGGTGAGCTCACCTGGTCCAGAGCTCCTGTCAGGAAAGGTTCTGTGAGACGTGAGGTCTGATCCTGAAGGTCCAGGCTCTCACTTGGACTTTAGCTTTATCAGTTTCAGTTTTCTGCCTCAGACCTGAACCAGACCTGAAGGTCTGAGAGGGTCCTGCTGATCCAGCCGACTCATCAGGTTTTAGATTGAAGGTTTTAAATATTCTTTAACATCATGTCTGTTTATTGTTATTGTTTACTGTTGTTGTTGTTGTTGTTGTTGTTGTTGTCAGTGCCGTGGACTGGGAGTTCTTCACAGTTGGAGATGAGAAGTTTTTGGTCGTGGCGAATTCTCACGATGGCCGCTCGTACTCCCTGAACAGCGTCGTCTACAGGTGTGTCCTCCCCCCGTACCTGAGCAGGTGTATCTGAGTCCATGTGACCAAACTGTGTGTTTGTTTGTTTGTTTGTTTGTTTGTTTGTTTTCAGGTGGCAGGGCTACGAGGGCTTCGTCCCGGTCCACAGCCTGCCCACGTTTGGCTGCAGGGACTGGGAACACTTCAGAACCGATGAAGGTTCCTTCCTCGTCTACTCCAGTGCCACCTCCAGGCTCAGCAAGGTCTTCAGACTCAGAACCTACTGAAGGGGTCCATCTGCAGCTGAACCAGACGGGTACCAGAATCTACTGGACTGATGACATCACAGGCGGAGCTTCCGCAGTCAGAGCAGCTCCGGTTCCTCCTCCATCTATCAGAAGAACCTTCATCTAAACACAAAGCACTTTGTTAAACCGGGCCAGGATAGGTTCTGACAGGAGTCCAGCTGTGGTTCTGTCAGTGCACACATTGGACAGGAGACTGAGCTGAGGTCAGGTCTGCTGCTCATCCAAGAAAAACAACAAAAAACAAGTTTTAAATAAAATATAAAATGTTTATTCCTCAGGTCATGAAGCTCCACGAGTTAATTTATTTTATATAATATTTTAAGACTTCCGAGTTTGATATAAATGTTTATTAATATAGTTTTGTACAGTTTATTTGTTGTTTTTAAAGCAACAATATTTTAAATACTTTGTATTTTGTATTGTTTTGAAGTTTATCCTTAAATGCAAAAAGTATTTTTGATGTATTTATTCGTACATTTTTTTCAGCTCAAATGAACAAGTTCATTGTTTCTTCAATTTAATTTGAACTAGTGGAAGTTTTGATGTTTTTATGAACACAAATGCAAGATAATAAATAAATCAATATTTGCTTTTGATCGAGTCCATTATTAAAATGATTCCTCATTATTATTAGTACATGGTTTTCATGACAAAAACAATAATTGTTTCCTACATGTTAATGACAATTAAACTTTTATTTATGGCTGCACTGAGCCATTTCTACCGACAGGGGGCGCTCCTTCACCTGCACTGAGCCATTTCTACCGACAGGGGGCGCTCCTTCGCCTGCACTGAGCCATTTCTACCGACAGGGGGCGCTCCTTCCCCCGCACTGAGCCATTTCTACCGACAGGGGGCGCTCCTTCCCCTGCACTGAGCCATTTCTACCGACAGGGGGCGCTCCTTCGACTGCACTGAGCCATTTCTACCGATAGGGGGCGCTCGTGCTCCTGTAGTGAGATTTTTCTTCCGGCAGGTAGCGCTCTGGAAACGGTAGTTTTTTTTTTTTTGGTTCGGTGTCTGTCCGGGTGGAAGGTGAGGCTCCTAGTTTGAAAGCTATGAATTGAGTAACGGCGACTTCATCCCGTTACCGGAGAGAACCGGAGCGGAAGTTGTTCCGTTACCGGTCTGTGAGTCCACAACGGAAACAAGAAGGTTTGTTCTCCCTGTGTTAGCATCATGCTAGCTGCAGAGTCGGTTCGGGTTCTCCAGGCTGTGAACGGGTGTTCGGGTCGATTAGGTTCTGAGAGTTGTGTCAACTGCTGAGCTGTCGGATTAAGCCGATTATGACCAGTGGAGCCGACAGACAAGATTATTTAAAAAAAGGAAAATTACTGATGTAAAGAAGAAACTGAAGAACAAACTGAACAAGAAGCTAATTTATTAAACTGTTCATGTTTGTAGCTGTGACGAAAGGAAGATAAATAAAACAAAATTTATAAAGAAAAACCTGGAAAAAAAAATGACTTCAATTTTATTCTGTGTGTAACTTTACTGCTGTACAATTGTCAGTTACTGGTTTTGTTTTTGTCTGTTTTAACAAAATTAAAATTAATCTGAACATATAAATATTTAGGCACGGTGGTTCAGTTGGTAGAGCTGCTGCCTCTCAGCGAGAAGGTCACTGGTTCAAATCCCAGCTGGTGGTCTTTCTGGGTGGAGTTTGCACGTTCACTCCAGGTACTCCAGTTTCCTCCCACAGACCCAAAACATGCATGTTAGGCTGATTGGTGACTCTAAATTGTCCCTAGGTGAAAGAGTGAATGGTTGTTTGTCTCTATGTGTCCCTGTGATGGACTGGAGACATGTCCAGGATGTCCCCCGCCTCTTGCATAGTGATAGCTGGACATGGGTGCCTATGACCCCCACAACCCCAAAATGAAGAAATGGGTAAAGATGATTGATGGATGGATGTAAACAAATAAAAGGATAAAGTCTGATTCTGTCGTTTTCCTGACAGGATGGAGTCTGAGATGATTGACTGGCAGCAGCAGAAGGTGGAGCTTGAACAGGAAGTGTGTCATCTGCAGCAGGAGCTGGCGGAGAGTCGAGCAGAGAGGGAAGAGCTGGACTCTAGGAGCAGAGCCTTGACTGACAGGGTGAGGAGGAGAAGATCATGTGATCACTAGGTGAAAACTAATAATCACACCTGTTCTCTCTGCAGCTGCGTCAGGAGCTATTTCCTTCACTCAACGCCTCCATGCGTGAGGAGGAGGAGCAGAGGAAGTGGAGGAGGAAGCTGAGGGAGGGCCGGGAGCGGGAGGCTCGACAGGCGTTACTTGTACACCGCTTGCAGAACAAGGTGAGGTCACTGGGAGGCCTAACCTTAAATTAGCAGAGCCTCTGAATCCTGCAATGTACTGCAGGGGGCGGAGCCTCTGAATCCTGCACTCTGTAAGTTCGATAATAAATCTATCACTCCTTGGTCTGCTACCTCCTTATATCTCCTCCCACATCTCACATCGTCAGTGCAGTTCCAGCGTGCACACTCAAGACATTATTACCTGCAGCGTTCCCTCAGTGCGGACTGAACTTGGCAAAAGGCCTTTTCCTACTCCTGTAACCTGGAACAACTTGCAACAGGAACTGAAGCTGTGCACCTTAATTTCTTTAGGGGACTTTAAACATTTGATAATGCCAATAGAAACATCAACACAAATATGTTCTTGATTTTAGTATTTTACCTTGTTTTACAGCACTCTGATTTATTGTTTTATAACACAACTTTTAATTGCATTTTTACTGTAGCTTATTGTTATTGTTGTCTGTGCTTTATATGTTCTGTCTGGAACAGGTCTCTCTTGTAAACGAGTCTTCGTGAGACTAACTTGTATAAATAAAGTCTGAATAAGAAATAAACAGAGGATTTTTTTGTTTGTTTCAGGTGATCGAGTACAGAGATCGATGTCAGCGTTTGGATCTTCAGCTGCAAGAAGAACACACAAAACTGCTCAACACTGAGGTCAGAACCACAGCAAAGCTACAGCAGAACCACATCAGTAGACGTGCAGCTGTTATTTGTGTTACAGCTGAGGATCAGAGATGAACACAGTGACTCTCTGGAGAGTGCCCTCATCAGGCTGGAGGAGGAGCAGCAGAGGTGTGTGTGTGTGTGTCTGTGGGTGGGGGGGGTCAAAGTGGGGGTCAAAGTTTAACATTGTGTGTTCTCAGGTCTGTCAGTCTTGCAGAAACCAACTCTCTCCTCCGGGATCAGCTCAGCCAATCAGAGCAGACCAAGCAGGCGCTAAGAGAAGACCTGCAGAAGCTGACAGCTGATTGGACGAGAGCCGTGGAGGAGGTGGAGCAGACTGAGGCTGACTGGCAGAGAGAGAAGGAGGTGCATCATTTTGTTTGGTTTGTTTTTTGTGTGTTTGTGTGTTTATTTGTTTGTTTGTGTGTTTAGTGCCGGTGGGGCCAGGCGGCCCAGCAGCAGGCCCAGCTGCTGTCAGTGTGGAGGTCTGTGGTGGATCTGAGGCGTCACTGTCACACGGTGAAGACAGCTGCTGACAGGTGAGTCCAGTCAGCTGGTCAGGAACCGCTCCTACCTACAGACTAAAGGTTCTGATCAGACTCATGGTTCTGTTCCTACAGGGATCTGTGGAACCTCAGAGCACAGTTCTCCAGACTCTCCTCTGAACTCCTCTCCAGCTGCTCCTCCCTGAGACTCGGTTCTCCTCACAACAAAACCTCCTTCTCCGCTGACCTTCTTCACCTCCCAGCCGTTCCTCCTCTCTCCTCCACACTAGTTCTCCCTCCTCCAGACTCGTCTCCACATCAGCTGCTCTCCTCCTCCACCCAGGGAACCTTCTCCATAGATGAGCTGAAGGAGGAGGACAAAGTGGACAAGGAGCAGGAGGAGGAGATGGTGGAGCTGAAGCTCCACGAGGCTGAAGTGTTTCAGCTGCAGCAGAGGTAAATGTTCATTATGTGGTTTATGAGGTTCTGCAGGAGGTTCAGATCTTCACCCCCTTCACCTCCTCTCTGTAAGGATTGAGGAGCTGACAAATTCCCTGCAGGCTATGGATAGACAGAAGGAGAACTCAAAGGAGGAGGTGGACAGGCTGATGGAGTCAGAGAGGAGGTTGCAGTCTGTGGCTCAGGCGGTCATCAGACTGGTGAGGTTCTCCTCTGCCCACAACTGCTCTTTGATGCTGTCCAACAGTGGTACCTCAGTGAGCTGTGTTGTGTTTTGTGTTCAGTCCAGAGTCCTGACTGCCACCAGCAGCAAAGAGATTCAGAGCGTCTCCTTGGATGACGTCCTCAGCCTGGACCTGTCGTCCTTGCTGTCCGTCCTTTCTCAGACTGAGAGCGTTCTGCAGTGGAGACACGAGAAGCTGCAGGTCTGTGGACTGAAAATGGAAAGTTTTAGTTCATTAAAGTTCAAAAGGAAAGGATGTACATAAATTTAATATTTTAAGTACAAAAAATACATTTTTTAAACCCACTGAATCCTGGTATTTCATCACCGTTACAGTATCGATCAAAATAACTGAACTTTGTTCCATCTTTGAGCAGCTCTACATTATTTTGACCTGATTAAACAGAGCTCATGTCACTGTACTGTTGTCAACTCTTCAGTTTTCGTGCTCTGAAGTCACTGATCAGTTTTTAAAATTTTGTATTGCCTTTCTGAGCTCAATAATCTGACCAAGAGATAAACACAGAAATCTGAACTGTTCAAGTTCATCAACAGAAGATCAATGGTCACTGACAGCCCTCTATGTGTGCGTGTGTGTGTGTCAGGGGGTGGAGTTAAGTCTGCGACAGGTCAGTGAGGAGAACAAGACTCTGCAGCTCCGACTGAAACAGCTGGAGGACGATAACCAGCAGCTGCACGTGCACGCTCAACACACACAGCAGGAGCTGACACACATGCTGACCACAGTCTGCAGGTGAACACACACTCCGCCCACTATGACACAATACAATCGGTGACATCATCAGCGCTGTGATGTGGGTCACAGTTCCTCCTGATGTTACCAGATTAATGAACTCGGGAAGTTCTCTACAGAACTACAGAATAATCTACAGTTAACACTTTCAGTGCTGGCTTCTTTATGAAGATACAGCTTCTGGTTCTGGTTCTGACTGGTTTTCTAAAGGAGATGTGTGAAAGTTTGAGTGCAGATGTTCCAGAGATAAGAAGGGAGGAAGCAGGAGAACCTCTGGAACAACGGACAATAGTATCTGTGCTTTCAGAGGGAGAACACAACAATATCTGACCCTAGAGGTGTGTCTGTGTGACAGGGAGAAGGAGGCAACGAAGTCCTTGAGCCTGCAGGTGGAGGAGGTGCAGAGGAGCGAGGAGGACGTGCAGAGAGAGAACGATAGACTGAAGAGAGACAGAGACAGACTGGAGGAGAGGAACCGACAGCTGGAGATACAAACACACAGACGGTAAAGTTCTACTGAAGGATTCTACTGAAAGGTTCTCTTGTGCAAATGTCTCCTGAGCAGTCCTGGGTTTGTTTCAGGGTGGAGGCAGAGCTTCTGGAGAATGTACAGCTGTCAGAAAGAGAAACTCTTCAACGAATGGAGATCCACAGTCTGAAGGTAAAAACTGAGCTGCAGATGTGTTCTGAACTCTCCGGCCCACCGTAGTCTTCAGAGTCTCGAAGGGTTTCTGTGTCCTCCTGCAGGGGGCGCTGCAGAGGGAGCAGCTGGACAGGCAGAGAGCAGAGGAAGAGGCTGCTGATGTCAGAGACGCTCTGCAAAAGGTTTGAACGTTCCTGAAGATCAAACTTCTCTGCTGCTCCTCGCTGCTGTACCTTTAACTCGGTGTCTCCTCCTGACGTCTTCTTCTCAGACTCGAGACAGCGTCCTGCGTCTTTCCTCCTCTGAGTTGGTGCTAAAGCGGGAGGTGGAGGACACGCGAGAAGCTCTGGAGAAGATGTCCTCTCTGAACTCATCTCTGGTCTCAGACAAAAGAGAACTGAACAAACAGATGCTGCAGGTTAAAGCTCCTGCTCAGAGGCACTTGAGCAGCTCACTGTGATCTCATTGTTACTTCTGTGACTTCAATGTAACATCACTGTGACATCACTGTAACTGTGACTTCAATGTAACATCACTGTGACTTCACTGTGACTTCACTGTAACATCACTGACCTCACTGTGACATCACTGTCATGTCACAATATCACTATGACTTCACTGTAAATCACTGTAATATCACTGTAACATTATAGTAATATCACTGTGACTTCACTGTAATATCACAGTGACTTCACAGTGACTTCACTGTGATATTACAGTGACTTCACTGTGACGTCACTGATGTCACTATAAATCACTGTGACCTCACTGTAATATCACTGTGACTTCACTTGTCTTCACTATAACATGAAAGTGACCTCACTGTAATATCTCTGTGACTTCACTGTGATTTCACGATATCACTGTGACGTAATATCACTGACTTGACTGTTATGTCACAATAGCACTGTGACTTCACTGTAAATCACTGTAATATCACTGTAACATCACAGTAGTATCACTGTGACATCACTATAATATTGCCATGACTTCACTTTGTCTTCACTATAACATGAATGTGACCTCACTGTTAAGTCACTGTGACTTCACTGAAACATTGCTGTGACTTCACTTTGATGTCACTGTATTATCACTGTGACTTCACTGAAACATGACTGTGACATCATTGTGACTTCACTGCAAAGCACTGTGACTTCACTGTATCATGACTGTGACCTCACTGTAATATCACTGTGACTTCACTGTGCTGTCACGATATCCCTGTGAAGTAATATCACTGTGACTTCACTGTGCTGTCACGATATCCCTGTGAAGTAATATCACTGTGACTTAACTGTGATGTCACGATATCACTGAGTTCACTGTAAATCACTGTAAAATCACTGTAACATCACTGTGACATCACTGTAATAATGCCGTGATTTCAATGTAACATCACTGTGACATCACTATTATGTCACTGTAAAATCACTGTGACTTCACTGTAACATCACTGTGACTTCACTGTGATGTCACTGTAACATCACTGTGATGTCACTGTAACATCCCTGATTTCACTGTAACATTGCAGTGACTTCACTGTAAGTCACTGTCACTCACTGTAACATCACTGCGACTTAACTGTAACATCACTTTGCTGTCACTGTAATATCACCGTAACTTCTCTGTAACATCACTGTGACTTCACTGTAAATCACTGTGACTTCACTTTGTCTTCACTGTAACATGACTGTGACCTCACTGTAATATCAGTATGACATCACTGTGATGTCACTTTAATATTCTGTGACTTCACTGTAACATCACTGTGACTTCACTGAAACATTACTGTAACTTCACTTTGATGTCACTGTATTATCACTGTGATTTCATTTTGATGTCACTGTATCATCACTGTGACTTCACTTTGATGTCACTGTATTATCTCTGTGACTTCACTGAAACATCACTGTGACTTCACTGTAACATCACTGATGTCACTGTAACATCACTGTGATGCCACTGTAACATCACTGTGATGTCACTGTAACATCACTGATTTCACTG